TAACAAAAAGATGAAGATATGGACTAAATTTCTTCTCCAAAAAGTTTACAAAATATCCTCTCTAGTAGTAAGTACTCTTTGGTCTCAATTCTAAGCTTTGTGATAAAAACATTCTTTTGGCAGATACTCATCTCCTTTCAACTTCACTTCCCCACTCAACAACTTGTCCTCATGGAATATTATTTTGGACTCTTCCATTTGGATCCGTACCGTCACGTCTACGCTTCAATATTGCTTAATGTAAACCATGCATATTACTGACCATTACGAACGTAAGAACGTCCCTGCTTCAAATTTTATTTAGAATCAGTTTTGAATTTTTTTCTATATATGTACCTTAAAAACGTTGAGACCGATGGCTTTCATCGGTCATGTTATGTTAGAATAATTAAGTCTTATATGAGCTGATTTAAAACGACCATGGTTTTGTATAGACTTAAAAACTTAAATGTGGTTCTGTTGCAAATTCGGCCAAGAATAATCAAGAAACGAGAAAATTATAAGAGATTTAAAGAGAAAAGCGTATTGAGACAAGTATTTGTTTTCTCTAAGATTTTCATTCGTTGTGTGAACGAATGATTTACAAACACATATGACATGAATACTTATAAACTCCAAAATCCTATACAATTAAGAATAGAAAATAAAAAAATATTTTTAACCCTAAGATATACAGTCTCATATCATTCCACTTGCTCAGTGAAGAACTGCCCATTTGCAGTACTTTATATCCTAATCTCGAACTTTAGGAAATGATTAAAACAATAAAAATAAAGTTACACACGAATCTATATTTTCTTACCCTAATGCGAGAATTACATCGATCATTTTTTATCAATGAGAGTTAGCGAGGGACATGTCGTATGGTCTTTATATATATCGTCACTAAAAAAATATGCTCTACAACTAAACACCAACTGTATAGTCTAATCTATTGATATCCAAATATATCACTATATATAGTTTGCATGTCTTTAGTTTTCTGTTTTAACACTTTCGCTGGTGAAGGTCGGATTTGAGATTAAAATCTTAACACCTAGATTATGACGAGACTAATATATCACATTATCGTTGATGTCTCGGTCTATAGGGGGGGACAAATTCTCTTTTCTTCTTTATCTGATTAGATTCCGATCTTACCTGATCCCATTGAAGTGGACCACACATTTGACGTTTCGAAGATGCTCCCTCGTAAAACATCTATCTAGCATCCTTTTACTACTTTGTATCCTTACTTCTTTTCGGGGTTAAATATAAAGAAATCTCATGTTGGCGTTCTGATTGGGGCACAAATTAAATTAAGTGCAAATGGCATTTCCATTATTTAACTATATCATATATGTTCCCGAAACTACATATTTTGACGTCATCATATCATAAACAAACCTTAACTTTTTTTGTTGTTTTGGTTTTGTGGATAAAATGTATTAAAAAATCATTCAGCTTGCCTCCTGACAGAGCACTGAATTGTCCGGAGACGACTATTTTGGCTGCAATATTGTAACTTAAAGTAAAAGCCACCAATCATTT